TCCCTCTTGCTTATTGAATTTTCTAATTATGGTTCAAGTCCAGTGCGTTCTTCTTGACTGAGCTTTTGAAACCACTTCAGTTCATGAATGTTGTTCTTTGAACATTTACTATATTTACTATATAAACTATTAGATTGTTACACTCAAACCTGGACTATCAATTAGGTTTTCTTAATTTATTACCTTAAAGGTATTATAAACAATATACGCAAGTCCAATGAAAGCAAACTTTTTATTATCTTTCTTCACTTTCCTCATAGGTCTTACATATCCTATAAATTCTCTAAATATTGATCATTGCTAATTAACACGTGATGTGTAGAGTTGACAAAGTACTTTATGGAGTAAAAAAAAAAGGCTTTTAAAGTAATAAATGTTTACACTAACTAATAATGAAGTAAAACATAGGTTTTTAACTCTCTTTGCTATTAAAGAATAATTGTAGTAATCTTACAGTCCAAATTCAATTTTAAAAAGAATTATTATCATCTTTTTCCCCAGGAAGGGAAGCCTCTGCTCCGTGCTGTAGCTTCAGATGGTCTTTTCTGGCTACATGCTTCTTCATGAAGATATAGCCTTGAGGGATAAGAAGATAGGCCACTGACATCTCATGGTTTCTTTCTATGCCATAGCACAGGTCAAGACCTGTGACTTTCTTGCTCAGATGGCCTCAAGTCTGCCTTTAGGAGCTTCACAGATTGTGGCTGGGATTCGTCCTCCAATGGATGTATTGTGACACTGGCATGCTCAGCCTAAGTTAACTCAAAGACTAAAGTGGGCAGCTTTTTGAAACAGGGAAAAAATACAGCTTGTGTATGAGATGCTTATATATGTTCATCTATGTGAAGTTTCTCACGGTCACATATGCAGCATCTCATACACAAGCGGTGAGCTAGAGTCAGGTAAGGGCAGAGAAGTGGCATTAACTAAGGTGCAGAGCTGGCTCTGTATGGCCGCCACATGCCACCATGCGGTTCTTAGGAGTCCAAGTATTTTAAATATGAACCTGAACTGTCAGATTTTTATGGAAGTATCTTTACAAAGTAGGCTAATACTATGTATTTTAAGTTTGATCTTATTGAAAGAATGGAACTACAGGCCATTATCTTAAATGAAACAACTGAGACACAGAAAGACAAGTACTGCACGTTCTCATTTGTAAGTGGGAGCTAAATAATGTGTACATGTAGATGTAAACTGTGGAATGATAGCAAATGGAGGCTTGGAAGGGTGGAAGGGGGTGGATGATAATAAATTACTTAATGATGCAATCTACATTATTCCAGTGGTCGATATACTAAAGCCCTGATTTCACCACTATTCAGTATATCAGTGTAACAAAATTATAGTTGTATTATATGCAGTTATACAAGTAAAAAATTTATCATTTATAAATACTTAGACATTTGGTATGTAAGCTGCCACACTCATATTCTTGCCTTGGGACCCCTACTTTTTAGAGACCCTATTTATTTTAATACTTGGAATCATAACTAAAAGGTTATAATGACCCCTTGAAAAGCATGGAAATTGACCTCCGTGTTACTGAAAATCCATGTATAACATTTGACTGTCCATAAAAGTTAACTATTAATAGGCTACTGTTGACAAGAAGGCTTTTTGATAACATTAACAGTTGATTAACATGTAGTTTGTATGTTATTTATTACACATACTGTATTATCACAATAAAGTAAGCTGGAGAAAGGAAATGTGATTAAGAAAATCATAGCTGGGCATGCTCACTCATGCCTGTAATCCTAGAAATTTGAGAGGCCAAGGCAGGTGGATCCTCTGAGCTCAGGAGTTTGAGACCAGCCTGGACAACATGGGAAAATACCATCTCTATCAAAATACAAAAAATTAGCCAGGAGTAGTGGTGCATGCCTGTTGTCCCAACTACCTGGGAGGCTGAGCAGAGAGAATTTCTTGAGCCTGGGTTATGGAGGTTGGAGTAATCCAAAACGGTGCCACTTTGCTCCAACCTGAGGAACACAGTGAGACCTCATCTCAAAAAGAGAAAAGAAAATTGTAAGGAAGAGAAAATATATTTACTATTCATTAAATGGAAGTGGGTTATCATAAAGTGTGCTTCATCCTTGTAGTCTTTATGTTGAGTCGACTGAAGAGAAGGATGGGTTGGTCTTGCTGTCTCAGAGGGGGCAGAGGCTGAAGAAAATTCACTTGTAAATGAACTTACCTGGCTTGAACTTGTGTTCAAGGTTCACTTTTATATATAAATGCAATATTTCCAAAAGGAAAAGTATGCCTGAACTGTGATATGATTTCTATATCTACTAATGTTATATTTTATGACAAATCTCATAAGCTTTTAGATCTATATCAATCTTGAATTTATATTCTTGTTTTCGGGAATCAGTTCCAAATTTGTATATCTGATATGTATTACTTTCTATATTCTTGAATGAAATGAAATTTACCGATTATATCTGTTTGTTTTGGTACCTAAGTCTAATTGTAATTTCTTTGAAGTAAAAGAAGAAATATTATTTTTCACCAAACGTGACAAACTTAATCTAAAAAAAATGCATCATTTTGTTATGTGTCCTTATGCACTGGATTGGAGTAGAATCACGTTTCCGATTATCTGTGTATATTTTGACACTTCTATATTTCTTGGTTTATGTCTGTTCTGATTTAGTGAATACATATATTCTTTTCACTTCAGACCCTTCTCCCCTTTTGAACATCTCTCCATTTGAATGTACTTGTAGATAAGGAAGTGTTATACTTTCATAAATAATTTTTTCAAATAGTTTTTCATATTTGAGCTAAAGTTAATCTCATATTTTCAGAGAGCTGATTTTTTGATGAACATGGCTAATGCGTTTTACTAATCGAAGCGATGTAGTCTGAAGATATTAAACATAAGAATTAAAGCAGAATTTACTGGGAATGTAGTTCTTTACTCCTATATGGGAGAGTACAAGATATAGTAGAGACATTAATAATAATGTCTATGCATTCCCTGAGAAACAAAATCATTTCTAATTATAAATTTATTCAAAATAAAAATAATCATTGGATGAGTATTTTAGATGCTCTCCTATGAGTAAATACATAGATTTTTAAACATTGATTTTGACAGTTTAAAATTAAACATAGCTTTTACTATTATCTTGGTTCACAGTTATATTCAGAATGATCATATTGGGGTTCCAATGAGCTGTGATAGTGCCGGTTTTCCTTTAAGTGTCCGCAGAGAAATGTAAACCCATTATACATTAGGATGAAAGACATTTAGATGAGTAATTTCATGTATGTTCTCGTGAGATTATTGAATCACCCACTAAACAATGTGTGTATATTGTAAAATTAAATATAGTTCAAAGGAACTCATTGTTTTCTCTGGAAAATACCCTCTGGATTTCAAGCAAGAAACTTGCAAAAAATAGTTTTGGGTAAAGATTGTGTTTAAGTTTAAATGATGGATAACATAAATTATTCGAGAAATTTACAGTAGATAATTAAAAGTACTTTGTGTCATAATAGTTCTGTATACTGAGGAAAGTAGAAATCCTGTTAGAAGCTATACTAATTGAAATTCCGCTGGCCTTGATTTAGTAACTCTCTATAGCCAGTTAAAATGAGAAACTGCAAACAGAACATGTTAAATAATCTTATAAATAACTGAAGTATCCTATCAACCGATAAAACCCTTATTCACTAAAGCAAACCGTTTGTCATTTTCAGGATACTCTAATAGAAATGATAAACTATGATGACTAGCATGTTTTCCTAAAAATGCTATAAGGTTACCTGAATGTTTTGCATGTACTGAAAATTATCAGTTATAGCTATTCAAATAAAGTGGAGTTATAATCTAAATTTGCATTATAAAGTATGCAATATTAAATGAATAAATACAAACTGATTTTATAGTGCTTAAATATTTTTATTAAATCTCTTAAAGGACAAACAAGGTCCTTCTATTCAGTTAAGTGGCAAACTGCTTGTACGTAAACATACAGAAGTGAAAGTAACCAGTGACCTAGCTCAGATCAAAAGCCAAACTGCTTAAAATGCTTATAATAAAGACTGGTTTGACCACTCCCCAACTCTGTTCTTATTACCTAAGGGGCTTTCGGTGCCCACTTCCACTGTTCCTCAAATACACCTGTACACTCCTGCCTCTGGTTATTTCTAACTACTGCTTCCTCTTTACAAATTTCACTGTCTCATCTCTAAGACAATGCTTAAATGTCACTACTACCCCAGTAAGGCCTTCTCTAGCCCCCCACCTCTTCGTAATCTCCTCACACTATTTTTTCCATTGTACTTTCTACCATATTATTTAGTTTTACTTGTTTCTACTTTTTAATTGTCTGTCTTCCCTCTAAAGTAAGCTTTATAAAGACAGAGAGTCTTTGTTGAGCTAGTTAATTGTATTTACAGTGTCCAGGGTATGGGAATGCCTGATAAATATTTATTGAATAAGTCTAAGGCCTTGTGCATGTCTATTTTCTATTGAAATAGTCATGTAAATATTTAATTGAATATTGACAAAGAAAACATACCACAATTTGTGGCAAATTGTATATGAGGAAAGATGGGAAAACCAAAGTGCATTTTTTATGTTTCTAGTTGTTTTGATAGGATAATGGATGCTATTTAATGTGCTTACAGTATGCCAAGAACTATCTAAAGTGCTGTACATATATATATCTAATTTATGCCTTACAACAACCCTGTGAAACAAGTACTGTTATCAGCTCCTTTACAGTGAAGAAACTAGAGATGAAATAAAACTGTCCTGCAATTAATGGGTAGGAAGGCAAGATAGGACAGCTGATTCTAGAACTCGGACTTTCAACCAAAGGTGCATGGTTAAAATGCTGCTCCATCGTTGCTCTGAATAGCTTCATTTGTATCTTTTTAATTCATTTTTATTTTGGTAAAACAAAAAAAAATGCAAGTAATCATTTCTGTTTAATCACTGTGGTTTAAAATCACTTAATTACTTTTTCCCCTTTTTGCAGTGGGATGCCATCACTGAAATGGATGAACATAATAGGCCCATTCACACGTACCAGGTATGTAATGTAATGGAACCAAACCAAAACAACTGGCTTCGTACAAACTGGATCTCCCGTGATGCAGCTCAGAAAATTTATGTGGAAATGAAATTCACACTGAGGGATTGTAACAGCATCCCATGGGTCTTGGGGACTTGCAAAGAAACATTTAATCTGTTTTATATGGAATCAGATGAGTCCCATGGAATTAAATTCAAGCCAAACCAGTACACAAAGATCGACACAATTGCTGCTGATGAGAGTTTTACCCAGATGGATTTGGGTGATCGCATCCTGAAACTCAACACTGAAATTCGTGAGGTGGGGCCTGTAGAAAGGAAAGGATTTTATCTGGCTTTTCAAGACATTGGGGCGTGCATTGCCCTCGTTTCAGTCCGTGTTTTCTACAAGAAGTGTCCCTTCACTGTTCGTAACTTGGCCATGTTTCCTGATACCATCCCAAGGGTTGATTCCTCCTCTTTGGTTGAAGTACGGGGTTCTTGTGTGAAGAGTGCTGAAGAGCGAGACACTCCTAAACTGTATTGTGGAGCTGATGGAGATTGGCTGGTTCCTCTTGGAAGATGCATCTGCAGTACAGGATTTGAAGAAATTGAGGGTTCCTGCCATGGTAAGAAACAAACATTTGAATACTTTATCTTGCATTTAAATGATCTAAATTAAAAAAAAATTTTTTTAAATAACAAATACTAATTGTACATGTTCATGGATGCATAGTAATGTTTTGATGCATACAATGTATGCTGATCAGATCGAGGTGGTTAATACATCCATCATCTCAAACATTGAGCTCTTCAAAATGATGATTTATTAAAAGTAAATGTACATTTATTTTCAAATAACACATTTTTGAGTGGTATTCCTGACAATTAATTGTGAAAGGAATGGATTGATAGTAACTGTAAGAAAATTGCTGTTGTTTTTCTCCTGGGAAAGGTGTATGAAAGTGTACCAAAATACTTTCAGTAAAGTAGTTAAATAATACGAATTGCTCTATTCACTAATTTTTATAAAGGGAAGCAGCATCAACAGCAGCAACAAAAAGCAGTGAGATTCAAAATAGTGATTTCCCTGGTGTTCACATTTTTATGGTTTATAGAAACATGGCATTTAAAGACAGCAATAATTATTTCTATTGAATAGTAATACTTGAATCATACTTAAATGGAATTGTATTTAAATAAATGAGGATTTCAGATATTATTTCAAAAACATATAAGCTAGTTTATATGGGTGTTATGTGTGATGTGTTTGGTGGTTGAATATTGACCTGATCAGAGACTAATTAATCCTTTGCTATTATTACATAGAGTTTTTCACCATATAACACATTAGCTTTTCATTTTAATAGTCATATTTGTGTAACATCTAATTGTCAGGAAATATTAACATTATACAATGCTAGTTAAGTTTAGAACTATACTTTTCACACTGTTATAACAATGAGATACCTATAATTTTAAGATGAAACATTTACTTTTTATGTAATTCATTTTATGAAGGCTTATTACCTAACAAGTATATAAATTCAAAATGTTTATATTCCCCCCCTAATAAAGAGCATATATTTGATTATGTTTGGATTTAGGACTCATAATAAAAAAACAAATAGAAATAAAATTATTTCTTGGTAAATAGTCTTGGGAAATAGTAATGTACTGGAGATACTTCCTGCTCAATGATAACTTCTTTAGAGGGTGTTTTCTATAGCACCAGCTTGAATTTATTGATTTCTTTGTTGATGTTATGTTCACATTCATTAAAAAGGATGACAATAAGAAAAACATACCTGTATGCATATAAGGATTATGGATAATATATGTGAAGTTTTAAAGGTCTGTTTATAAAGCACTTGGGTTCTTTACTCTTGAAAAGTTCACTAGAGCTACCAGTGATGATTATGTTTTATAACTGGAGAATATTAATATTTGCATGAGAAGTTTGTAGTATATTCTTTACAAAGCATGAATCAGCTTTCCTCTGCTTTTAATCATGAAACTGTTTCATTCAAATTTATTAATATGGTTTTTCAATATTGTTTATCAAAAATTTTATTCACTTATAACAAGGATTTATAATGGAGAAAAATTAAACCATAAATGATCCTGGAGGGATCTAAAGATATTTTACATTGCAAAGTGTATGTTTTAGTTTGTCCTCATACTGCCATAAGAACTTTCTGAGACTGGGTAATTTATGAAGTAAAGAGGTTTAAATGGCTCACAGTTCCACAGGCTTAACAGAGAGCACTACTGGAATGCCTCAGGAAACTTACAATCATGGCAGAAGGTGAAGGGGAAGCATACATCTCTTACCCTGGCAGCAGAGGAGAGAGAGAGAGAAGGGGGAAGTGCCACACACTTTCAAACAACAGATCTCATGAGAACTCAATATCAAAAGAACAGCAAAGAGGAAGTCCACCCTCATGATTCAGTCGCTTCCCACCAGGCCACTCCCCTATAATGTCAAGATGAGATTTGGGTGGGGACACAGAGCCAAACCATATCAGTGCACTAAAGAAAAATTTGTACATATGAATAACAGTGAAGTGGAGAAGAAAATAAGATCTAAGGAAAAAATGTATTACAGATAGTAACCATGTGTTTTTTGATACAGGCATATAATATGTGTAATAATAACATCAGTTTACCACATTTTAAGTTAGGTGGAAGTTAGCCATTTCTTGCTAAAAATAATAAAGTTTTTAAAATATTTAAAGAATTATGTAATAATCTAAGGATTTATATGATTTGCTGTTATTAAATATTTGTTTTTCTTCATGGCATTTACTACAGAATTAACCAACTATGATGGCTAGATTTTTTTTTTTTTACTTAATATGTTTGCTGTATGAAATTTTATTTTTATTTATATGTCTTAAAAATTTCTTTAGTGATTTGGCAAAGATAGTTTTGGACATATGATAAACAGCATGTTTATCTAGAGTTTCTACTTGTCTGCTTTTAATGGCTTGTTACCTTTTTTATCTTCTATCTGATTGCAGAAACATGAGGGAGTCAGTACAGAACAATTGTTCATCATCTTGTAGTAGATGGCTGAAATTGGAAGAATTAACTTTGAGTTGAATATCTATGGCTTATAAACCTTGTAATCAGGTGTTTAATTTATAAAGTAATGGTCATAATCACCTGATGATAAAATACATGTAAAACTATTGACAAGCAAACAGGCCTGACTCTAATTGGATATAATGAATTGTTATTTACAAACAAAAGGAAAGTCAGAGTGAATGTAGTGACTGTTGTTTTTAAAGAGATGTATATTGCAGTGCTAGCAGTGTTCATTTTAGAGTACTTAATTTTTTGTGTGTTCTTGATGTTTCATTTTGCCCCTTTCTTTTCTCTGATGAGAATTTTATCATTGCTTTTATTGCCATCTATCCATAACTTATCTCACAAAAAATCTCTGAATTACATATAATCAAAGGTCAAACTAATGCAAATATATATGAAAAAACTGTAGTACAAGTAGAAATGTGACCACATATATAATGGGAAAAGAAAAAATGAGTATATCACTATTTTTCTTCTAGTCTATTCTAAAAAACAATTAATTAACTTACACCATTTTTTTTTTTTTTAAGAGACATGGTCTTATTCTGTCACCAACCCAGGCTGGAGTGCAATGGTGTGACCATAGCTAATTGCAACCTTGAACTCCTAGGCTCAAGCAATTCTCCTGCCTTAGCCTCCCAAAATGCTGAGATTGCAGGGATGAGCCACTGCTTCCAACCCTAAACTATTGATGTTTTTGAGCGTTTACTATTTCTTAATCACTTTCTTAAGTGGTAGAGATAAATATAAATAAGACATATGTTCCAATTATCTACTGCTATGAGACAAAACAGCCCAAAATATATAGGCTTAAAATCACAATGATTTATTATTTTTCAGGGCTCAGCTAGGTAGTTCTGCTGTATTACAGCATAGTACAATAAACAGGTCACTCGTGTAGCTGAATTCCAATGGAAGCTTGACTAGAGTTGGAATGTCCAAGATAGCCTCTCATCTTCCAGGGCCTTTCTCTGTGTGGCCTCTCATCATTTAGTACAGACGTCCCCAAACTACAGCCCGCGAGCCGCATGCGGCCCCCTGAGGCCATTTATCCGCCCCCGCCGCCGCACTTCAGGAAGGGGCACCTCTTTCACTGGTGGTCAGTGAGAGGATCACAGTATGTGGTGGCCCTCCAACGGTCTGAGGGACAGTGAACCGGCCCCCTGTGTAAGAAGTTTGGGGACGCCTGATTTAGTATCTATCTCAAGCTTTCCTGGAGTGTAGTTGCTGGCTTAAGTGGGAGTTTATTCACATAACCATCTGCAAAATGAGTATCTGCAGAGACAGCAGAGAGAGTGAATACCTGAAATTATATTTATAGGGGACTGCCACCATGGCAATATATTATTTCATAGTCTACTCTCTGGATTCTCCTGATTAGTGTCTCTTCATCATGCACAAAAACCCACACCCTCCCAAAGTTTTATCCCATTATGACGTGTTGAACTCCGGAACAGCGTGTTGAAATCTGTTCCAGATTCAAAAGAAGTTTCATTGCTAAGATCCCTGTTGATCTGCAGAACTAAGAACCTAAAAGTAAGTTATTGTTCCCTACACCCACAACACACATGGAACAGGGGCAGGGTAATTGGAAAATATTCTCTCATTCCAAAAGGCAGGGAACACAAGAGTCACCACTGTGAGTGTGAAGTGCAGCTGGTGTTTTCAGGGTTCCTGACTACAGGGGCAGGGAATGTTTTCTCTTAGAGCACAGTTCTGCTCCCTGTGATTGGTTCTCTGTGTCTTTTGGCTTTCTTACTAGTATCTCGCCCCTACACTCTTAGTCATCCGCTCTGAGAATTGCCCACGTGCTGCTTGCTAGTTTCAACAGCTTTCGGAAACCTCTTTAATTTGATCAACAATGTTATGAAGTGCTTTTTCTGTCTTCCAAGTTACCACAGGCAGCATTATTGCTAATTGCTCAACACATAACATGTGTCGACCTTTTAGTATTCCTAATAACAATATCTTTACCAATCTTCCAGCCTCTACTGACAGTCTGCTTGCTATTCTTCAGCCTCTACCATCTGTTCAGTCCCAATGCAGATACCACAGGTTTTAACTTTTCGTTACGGCAACACCCATATCTTGTACAAATTATTTGCTTATAGTTTCTACAATCTGGAAATCTGGATTGGGTGCAGTGGGTCGTTCTTTTTCTGTCTTATCTGAGGTCGCTTATGCCACTGCAGTTATTTGGAGGTTTAGCAGAGCTGCATATCTCCGATGGCTTCACTCATGTATAATGCTTTGTCTGTTATGTTAGAGGCCCTAACATTGTATACTGTCTAAATCCTGGTAACAATTTTAGTATGTTTTGTTTCAGGAAATTATTCTAGTTATTTTTTCTTTCTGATATATCAACTATAAGGGGTTACTCACCTTAGCATTCAAGGGATTTTGTATACTGGCCTTGTCCTATTCTCTTCCTCACTATTTATTTTTTTTTAAATAACTTTTGAACAATCCATGTGTTTTTGTATCTCTTACATTTTTTCATATTTTACCTAGCTGCTTTTGTACCCTTCTTCTTCTG